AAACATCACCAGAATGCAGATGCATTGAGCCGGTTACCTTTAAATGATGTAAAGCTACAAATACCGGAAATACCTGAAATATTATACTGCAATGAGGTTGAGGAACAGTTTTTAATCACTGCGAAAGACATTGCACAAGCAACCAGAAGAGATCCAGTACTATCAAAAGTAATGTGGCATATCCAAAGGAAAGATACAGTTTTGCCATATGTTAACCTACATCCGAAACGCACAACTGGGCACCTTAAAATTTTTAACAACAGGTGGTCACCTAACCTATGTTTGACAGCGAATGACACAATCGAGTGAAGTAAGAATAACGGAAGTTCGATGGGTAGCGTCGTGAATAAATATATTGTTTTAGTTAAATAAAGTAAAGTAATGTTATGTAAAAAGAAAGTCTATTAACGTTTTGTAGTAAACGCAAAAAACCAAATTTAAATTAAACCAAAGTTTAAAGTTCAGAAGTGGAATTGAATCAATGTCCAAAAGGGGAGTAATTAAAACGTAAGTTTGAATATTTGGCGCAAAAAATTAAAAAACAAACGAACGCAGATATATACGTAATGATGGTGACCATCGAGACACTGACGAAGGAACAGTTGAAGGACTTCTTACAACAGCAAGAGTTATCCACTACAGGCAATAAGGCAGAATTAGTTGCAAGATTAACTGAACACGTGAAGGCAAGCGGCGTAGTTTTACAATTTACGAACGATAATGAGGAATTGCGGGGTGAAAACGAAGAATTGAGAAAACAAATTAGCGAACTGCGGCAAATGGTGCAACAAGTGGCCATTAACCAGAATAACGGTAGAAACAATCAAAACAGTACTTCAGAAATACCTAGTAAGGACCGTAACGCGCATTCTATACGAGAAATCGCAGAAGTCCTACCCGAATTCGACCCAACGAATGAAGATTCTATTACGGCTACGCAATTTGTCGAACGTGTTGAAGCTGTTATGTCTGTATATGCGTGGCCCGAAAAAAGTGTGCTTCTTGCAGTGTATAGCCGTTTGAAGGGTGTAGCGCGCATGTGGGTGGACGCATCACCAAGAATGCATGCTACTTGGAAGGAGTTCTCAAATGAGCTTGTCACCGAGTTCGGTTGCGAATACGATGAAGCGGATATACATTACAATATGTCACGCGTTGCTCGAAGGCAAAACGAAACAATAACTGAGTTCATTTTTCGTGTCTCTGCGCTAGGACGACGTCATAATCTTAGTGAGATGGCTATCACGAGATACGCCCGAGAAGGATTAAAACATCGAGAACTACAAATGGCGATTGCTCCGCAAAAATTCGTATCCGTTAAAGAAATGCGTAAAGCATGCGAGAACTTTTTACAAAATTGCATTAAGATAAACGAAAAGTCTTTTCATAATGCGGGTGAAAGCGAACAAAGAATACAATCGTTCAGTAAGGCAAAGAATGTTATGTGTTACAGTTGTGGTGAGTCAGGGCACTTGTCAGTAAATTGTGCAAGACCCCCAAAACGTCCTCGTTGTATAGATTGTAATAAGGTGCACCCCAAAAATGAACAGCAAAATTGCGGAAAACCATCAGCTTTCGTGCGAAAAACAAGTATTATCGACAATAAATTTCTTAAGAAAATAACGATTGGTGGCAAGCAAGCCATTGCATTTATTGATACTGGAAGCGAATGTAATATGGTCCGAGAAACATTTGCCAACGATATTGGTGGTACGCGCAGCAAAAACCTATTTACCATCAGTGGATTCGGTGGTGGTATAGAACAATCTGAGATACAAATCGACACGGATTTGAAAATCGATGAAGTTGAAAAACCGTTGACGTTGCACGTCTTCAAAGATCGTGTGTTGAATTACGATTTATTGCTCGGGGACGAAATATTCAATAGCGAAAATATACGCGCCGTATATGACAACGGACAGTTCAAATTCGAAGACAAAGTAAAAACGACGTGTAAAATTAATAAACTTAGTCCAATAACGGAGGATGACGTGTGTATGGACACTGTAAGTTCGGATTCTAAGGGAAACCTGTTAGAGGTGATGAATGAATTCCGAGAATGTTTCGCTACAGGTATGGATGGAATCGGCAAAACTAGTGTAGTCGAAATGAAAATTGAGTTAGCGACCAACGAGGTAATCGCACAAGTCCCATATAGAGTTCCGGAACCGAAAAAAGAAATCGTTGCGAAGAAAATCCAAGACTATGACCTCATCATCGAACATCGAAGCGAGCAACGAATGGCGCATGTCGACGCACTAAGTCGTATGCCTAACGAAGACGGTTGCGATCTTGAGGAAGCGACTTTGCGAGTCTGGAAGGCGGAAATAACTGAGGCAGATTGGCTTTACAGTATGCAATTACAAGATAGCAAACTTCAACAAGTCGTAATGAAAATTGAGGATAAGGATTCAGACATTATTAACGACTATAAAATAATTAACGGACGACTGTACAAACGGTATAAAAACCATTAGCTCTTCGTAATACCAAAGGCTTTGCGATGGAAGGTGACACATGATGCATATGTTAAAACAGGACACTTAAGCGTTGGCCGAACGATTGAATACTTACTACGGTCTATGTGGTTCGCTCGAATGCGAAACTTTGTCAAATCTTTTGTGAAAGCGTGCATTGATTATGCCTTCACTAAGCGTCGAGGAGGTAAAAAGGAAGGTGAGTTACATTGCGACAAAATGGAGCCTATTCCGTTCAAAACAATACACATTGACCACCTGGGACCTTTTCCCCGAAGCCGAAAGTTAAACGAGTATATCCTGATTATTGTGGACAGTTTCACAAAATTTGTCATCGTCAGACCAGTGAAAAGTACGAACACTAAACAAGTCATCGCCATTCTGAATGAAGTTACCAGTTACGTTGGAACCCCTGAAACTATAATAAGTGATCGTGGTACCGCCTTTACGTCAAAAGAATTCGAAAGATACTGTAACGATCAACAAATCAAACACATACGCAACGCAGTCCGACCGCCACGAGCCAATGGCCAAGTCGAACGATTTAATCGCACCGTTTTATCCATGCTGCAACCCTCAACACAAGATGACCGAACCTGGGACGAGCAACTACGAAACATTCAATGTACATTGAACTCACTGATTAGCCAAACGACGGGAAAATCTCCAAACGAATTGCTTTTTGGATTCAAGCCACGCGACATATTAGGTAACAAGCTGATCCAAATTCTCCAAGATGAAGACGATACTATTCCCATCACCCAAGAAGAACCCCAACGCCGACGATTACTTGCTGCTAATAACACCGATAGTAAACGGGTAAGCGCGAAAAAGCGTTTCGACGATAAACACAGGAAACCAACGAAATATGAGCAAAGTGATTTAGTTCTAGCTGAACGAGAACCAGCATCCACAGGCACGTCCCGCAAACTTGAATGTCGATATAAAGGACCGTTTGTAGTCACCGAAGTTCTCGATAATGACCGTTATGTCATCGAAGACCTACCAGGATCCGATCGAAAACAACGACATTATAAATCAATCTATGCGTCTGATCTTCTAAAGCCATGGAGTCAATTGCCGTACGAAGAAGAAACTGATTCCGAGCGCGAGGACGCTTGACGTCAGGAAGGGCCGACTGTTAATCTACATCCGAAACGCACAACTGGGCACCTTAAAATTTTTAACAACAGGTGGTCACCTAACCTATGTTTGACAGCGAATGACACAATCGAGTGAAGTAAGAATAGCGGAAGTTCGATGGGTAGCGTCGTGAATAAATATATTGTTTTAGTTAAATAAAGTAAAGTAATGTTATGTAAAAAGAAA